TGCATGGTTGCCAAGGCATTTCAATATGGTTGTTAGGATGTTCTGGGTCATTGGTTCTCAAACCTCTCCATGAAGTACCCCCAGCACTGCACATTTTGTATGGCTCCCTTTATCTGACACACCCACTTCAGGTCTTGCAGTCTCCACTAATGAGCTGGTGAGTCGAATCAGGTGTGATCGATGAGGGAGACATACAAAATGTGCAGGGCTGGGGGTACTCCAGGACAGGTTTGAGAACCACTGTTCTAGGTGGTTGCCATGCAAATATGTGTGATAATGTATGTATGCCATGACACAAAAAAACGATAGTCTCACTTTTTTTCTTTTTATGTGAGACTGCAGTGCCTTTACCGAGATTAAGAACTTTCCGTTAAGATTTGAAGGGGAAATAACGCAAAGAACCGAGACAGAACAGGACACAGGACAATTAGCGAGGGAATAATGAAGCAGGTCCTACGGCACACAGAAACTCCAGCCTGTTTGGTGGAATTCTGTGAGTCATATAACCTTTAGGCGAGTGAAGGATGGTCAAAAATAGATACGGGCATGTAGAGTACGATGCATACTGAACAGTCTGATGTGTGTCCTCCATATACAGCAGCAGCAGCAACTAACTGCCCTTCTGATAATGTAACACCCACTTAAAGAGACAGTTCATCCAAAGAAATGTTCATTATGTCATCATTTACACTTCCGTCCCCATTTACTCTAAAAAGCACCATTAAATTAGTATATGTGATAGTATCAGTAAATAAATGACTTAAATATCATTCTGTGCTTCACACAAAGCTATAATCTGAGAAAAAAGTCAAACTGGGAAAAAATGATGACCGAATATTCAGAAGGAATTTTGTGCACTTTGGATTGATTGCAGTATCTTTAATGTTGCATGAAATGCGCTCGCTCAAATGCCTTCCACCTGGAAGATGCGGTGCCATCAGACTGTGCCAAAGCCTTCACTCTGGAGTAGTGTTTGAGATTGACCTTCGCTGAATTGACTGGCATCGACATGTCGACTGTTAGTAGACGAGCCAACGGGCTGTGACAGCTCTGTATAAATCAACCAATAGCACTGAATCACATGCACCTCAGGTAACTAATGACATCGAAAAAAGAATATTAGCATACTATTTTTGCAATATGCAGTATGTATAGTGTGCAAATGATCTGTATGCATGGAAATAACGGATCCCACAATGCAACGCATTCAACTTCACAAATGACTATAGTAGTAAATAAAAAAAGTTTTGAATTTAAGGAAATAGTAAGAATCTTTAGAATGTTGGAATTTTAATATTTAAATTACATTTTTAAATGTTTAAAGTAAATTTAAAATTCTTATTTGAATGATCTGATTATTTGACCAGACTGCCAAAAGTTAAGATATTTTATATAAATAAATAAATAAACTTAAAATTAATTAGAATATTAATTATATTTATTTAGAATATTTAGAATGCTGGAATTACAATAGTCAATGTTTTTATTCAAAGTTAATTTCTTATTTGAGTGACTATTTGATCAGACTGCCAACAATAAAGACAATTTATGCTAAATTACATGCAACTTAACATTAGATATTAAAGATTAAAAATGCATTTTTTTGTGCAATGGCATTTTGAATGTTTGTCTGATTTAAACAGTCAGTATTGTTTCATGTGACAACAATACAAAACGTTTGATGTTGCATATTGCATAGTTGCGCATACTGTTCACTTACTAAAGCTAGCAAACAGTACACAGTACATACTATGTAGTGTGCACTACACTGCTGTTTCATTCCAAACACAGCCGTGCTCCAAATTTTCTGTCACTTGTGAGAACTTTACAGACCTGTGCCCTTTAGCTGCAGGCTCGGAGTTAACAGGTGTGATATTGTCACACTTTTGCAGTTCAGAGTTATTTGTCACAAACTCAATTTCATCCTGTAAAGCCAAAGGTTTCAAAAGAAGGTCCACAGACCCCTAGGGGCCCATGAAAGTACTGCAGGGAATAAAATTTGTTGACTGATAAAAACAAATGACTTAAAACAATATTTAATGTGTTTGTAAATTGTTATTAATTATACATATTTTAAAAAATATTGTAAAAAAAATTATAGTAATTAAAAATACAAAAATAACATTAAAATAATATATATTTTCTAAAATCTATTTATTTGACTATTTTAATCTATTTATATTCATTTGAAAATATTATCATTCTAATTGTAATATATAAATTATAATATGGTTACTTTGTTTTATAACAGGAGCTCTGGGTTCAACATGTTGAGGGATCTCAGGTCATAAAAGATTGACAACCGCTGCTGTAAGGGAATATTGGTGTTGTTAAACCGTGCCGTATTGTCGGGATGTGTGATGAGCGCAGGAGGGATTGTGTGTTAATTGAATGTGTAATCCATTTGCTGCTTCAGACTGCAGAAATAAAGCTATCTGGCACAACTCCTGCCTCTCAGAGAGACAGATTACAGCCGAGACTCAGGGAGAAAAGGTCGACTGTCAGAGGAGCAGCAGATGCCGGAGAGGAAAGAAAGAGAAAGTGAAGCCGAAAAGAAAACTGTTCACATATTCTTACAATAATCAATTTAGTATAGCATGCTAAGTATGCTTGGAATGGCACAGTGCATTATATACACAATGCCCATGTTGCAGCTTAATATAAAACAGATCTGACTCAGCATGCTGATTGACTGGTACTAAAAATACAAAAGAAGTTCTATAAGCCATTCTGACAATTCATTCTGAATGGTCATAATTAATTAAAACAGTAACATCTTAAAAATAAATATGGCATCAGCAAAAAAAAAACAAAAAAACTGTAATATTTAATTTTAAGTTCATTTAATTTAGCATAAATTTCATAAATAATCACCCATCATGTATTGTTTAATTAATTGTAATTAAAAAAGATTAAATGTAAATATTTTAATTGCAACATTTAATTCCAACATCCTGCCAATTTCTATATAAAAATGTGCATTTTTAATCTATACATTTAAGTTGCATTTAAATTAGCATTAAATGTCTTGACTTTTGGAAGACTGATTAAATAACCACTTAAAATGAATAAAAATTTGACGTTTAAATTCCAACATTCTAAATATTCAAAATAATTATCTTAATTTTACACACAGACACACACACACACACACACACACACACACACACACATTTAATTCATGATTATGAATATATTGATTTAAATTTTTTTCTTGATTTAGAGCTATACAATTTTACATACAGCATCAGAACAGGATTTGATATAGTCAGACACATTTAAATGGTTCCTGAGACTGATTTACATAAAATACACACTGCTTTTGATGTCTTAGGATGCCATCTAGTGTCTCTGGGGGTAAAAGACTTTCAAGTGCTTCCAGAATGGTGAAATGCGCTCGACGTGATAAAATATAGATGAATGTTTCTCCCTGGAGTCGTCCATGAAGGACTTCTGCACTGCATATGTGGCCTTGCTCCTGTGTTTCCACAGAAGGACTTTTAGAAGTGTGTGGATAAATAGTTTTGTGTTAGTGAATTATTCAGCTCAGGCTCTACGAGGATTTGAAATGACTTTCACCCTACTGTACTCTGCTCCCGCAACGTCTGCTAGAGAGGGTGGTATACAGTATATACCACACACACACACACACACACACACACACACACAGAGAGAGACCCTAAATCAACAATCCTTTACTATATAAGCACTTTAACTATCCTCATTTATATTTAACTATCCTCATCAATTTTCAGTATGATATATGCCTATTTATAGTCATATATGCATGAAATAAAGTGACTGTCAAATGGAACTACATGAAGAGTTAAAAAGGTCATATCACAGAAAACAGAATTTATATTTATTTTTTATTTAATGTGTTATTATATTAGTGTTATTGAGATGCTATTATAGTTTTTATTATATATTATATTCTTTTTTATTTTATTTTTTCCATTTCCATTTCAACTGGTAAAAATTTTTGTTGTGTGTTTTTGTTATATATATTTTTTATTACTTTATTTATTTATTTATTTTTTCAGTTTTAGTTCAAATGAGAAATGCTGCCTTAGCAACTAGCTGCAATAAAAAAAAGTTTTTTATATTTTATTTTATTTCAGTTAATTTATTTTATTTTTATTTCATGTTTCTTATGCACAAAAAAAAAATGTTTTTTTTTTAATGGTTTTAGTTTTAGTTAACTATAATAATCCTGCTGTAGATATCCAATACTAAATTATAAAATATGTAATTTCTTATTTAATGCATATATAACAAATTTTTTTGTCCAATAAGACTCTTAAATGCAATTTAACTATATGTCTGTTAAGTACGTAATGGATGCATGTAAATATGTATTCTGTACACTAGCAATATAGATGACCTAATAGGCTAAAAAGACATGCAATTTTGATTTTCATCATTGCATCCAGCAACTTTAATTTTCATCATTGCATCCAGCAGCTTTAATAAACGTGTAATTCTAGAGCTGACTGCTTGATGTCACTGTCGTCTAAAGAAGCATCACTAGGTGCTGCATAAACAGCTACTGTTCTCACACACATCTGTACACTACAAACTATTAACGAAGAGGGGTTTGCCAAAATAACACTGCTTAATTAAAAACTGTTGTCATAATTTACATAAAATGCTCTTTTAATAAACTTAACAAGAAGTTGTGATGATTGCTACGCTGTGTTTAGTAACCAATCCCAATAGTGCCAATAGTGCAAACCTTGTTACATTGCTACAAGTGCCAATAGATGTAACACAATCTATAAACCCAAATCTCACATCTTTGGTGATTTGGACAGAGATGTAAAATGTGCACCAGTTTATGATGAGGTAGAGCATTTATGACTGAGGAGGTTTGTTACACAGTAAACCTTCTGCTCCTCCTATGAATGCTTCAGTCATATCAACACACACAGACTCACGCTGCTTACTATTACACTAAAGCTGGACAGCTTCAAGTCATTCTGGGATAGTATCCTGAACTTTTGAGACACTGAAGAAGATTAAAAGACAATGCAATTAGATGATGTGGAGTTAGAGAAACATGTGGAGACGACATCCCGTGAGAGCAGGACGGCCACAAACAGCCCAAAACGTCTGTCACACTCTATTGAAGAAATACTGAAAAAACCTGTCCGACCTGACAGAACAGACAAGAAACTTAAAACATCTGGATGTACACAGACCGAGATAAAGACGGACACTCCTAAAATCAGTCCATACACAGGTGTGTTCTTTTTAGTTTTCTCTTTGATTGTATTTTTGAATAGGTTTTACAGCTTGTGTATTGATCGGGTTAAGAAAAATATACTATTTCTTAGCTTTTGAATCTATTTGAACGTATTTACTGAAGTTATGAGATCTATTATATTCTGATGGTAGCTCGTCGGTCAGGGCGCAGACGGGTACGGACCACGTTCACCGTGAGCCAGCTGGAGGAGCTGGAGAGAGTTTTTCAGGAAACACACTATCCTGACGTTCACACCAGAGACCAGCTCACCTGTCGAACGCAGCTGTCTGAGGGAAGAGTTCAGGTACAATATTTATTGTTATTTGTTTATATATATATATATATATATATATATATATATATATATATATATATATACACATTCATTTTCAATCGATATTTGTAACTACAATACCTTAATATAATATCTTTATATATATAATATTGATATATTAAAACAATTCATATATATTTTTAAAAAATTGTACATTTTAATATTTGTAAATACAACACCTTAATATATATATTTTTTCTTTTTTTTTTCTTTAGTTTTTTGTAGTTTTAAGAAACTTTATGAAATGTTTGCTTCACAAAGTTTGCCTCAATATTTGGGCTATTTAAGCAAAAAATAAATAAATAAATAAAATGTGCGAAAAAGAAAAGAAATAGATAAAAGACATCAAAAACAGATAAATTATCTATCTATCTATCTATCTATTGTATATGTAATAAATGTTTAATGAAAGTTTACGAAATGTGTGCTTCATAAAGTTTGCCTACAAGTCCAGTTGTGTATCACATTTGTTTAGATCTGGTTCCAGAACCGGCGGGCGAAGTGGAGGCGCAGTGAAGCTAAAGCAGCACACAGACCGCTAACCGAGCTGAGAGATGCAAAACACACTCACTCTCTGTAGCTATTATATTTCATATATTATTATTTGAATAATATATATTGACTGTATTTCTGATGGTACAGCTCGTCGGTCCGGTCGCAGACGGGTACGGACCACATTCACCGTGAGCCAGCTGGAGGAGCTGGAGAGAGTTTTTCAGGAAACACACTATCCTGACGTTCACACCAGAGACCAGCTCACCTGTCGAACGCAGCTGTCTGAGGGAAGAGTTCAGGTACAATACGCTGTCTGCTGAAAACACACTACTTCAAATATATGAACTGACACTGGATAATCTTGTTTTCTATGACCAGGGTATCATTTCAGAAAATATGGGTAGTTTAAATTTTATTATGCAGGCATATAAGTAAAAAGTGTATAATTAATGAGTTGTAACTAAACACAGATTATTCTTAATTTTAATATATTTTAGTAATTTTAGTAATTAATGAAGCTAAAGCAGCACACAGACCGCTAACCGAGCTGAGAGATGCAAAACACACTCACCTCCTGACTCCTGTCCTCTGTGTTCCCGTAAATACTTTCATTCACCTCCATCACAATCACTGCATCCTGTGCTGAGATCTTGAGCCCAGTGACTGGACTAATCTTCCCAAAAACACTGTGAAGAAAAGGCAAAGAAAATATGATAGCATATAAATATGTTTCATTTAGATTTTTTTTTTTAAACCAGATCTACAAACTAAACACAAATTACTCTTTATTTTAATCACATTTCAGCTTTTTGGAATGGTTTAAATAGTTCTGTGGTGTGATAAATGAATTTATATAAAGACACATATTGACAAGTTAATATAATATTATATAATATAATATAATATAATATAATATAATATAATATAATAAAGACTTGCTAAATCATTCATGCAAAGTTATTTGAAAATCTAACTAACATCCCATACTGTGTATTAATAAAGTCGGTATAAAATGAAGATTTTATTTTATTTTTATTTTGTAAATGCATGTTATGGATCTTATTGGCAACAATTCAGTTGTACATTTGCTTCATTTTATTTTGTAATTTTTTTTAATGTTTTGACCTCATAATGTTTAATCAGACAACTGGATCTTCTGGTGAAAACATCAGATGTATACACTGTAAAAAAATGATATGACCAATAAATGATGACATGTGTTTTTACATTACTTTATCTCATCAAAATAAGTTATAAGCAATAAGCAATTTTCAACTTTAATTTGCGTGTATGTGGTTCAACTCATTTTTCTAAGCCAGTTTAATGTCATTTAAGTTGAAATGACTTAAAGGGGTGGTTGATTGCGATTTCACTTTTTTAACGTTAGTTAGTGTGTAATGTTGCTGTTTGAGCATATGCACCAAGAGCTTGTTGTAACACTCCAAAGGAAAAATTGAAATCGCATCATATGACGCCTTTAATGCCTACAAAAACAGCTGGTAGGGACTACAACAAGTTACTTCCCGGGTTTGTGATGTCACAAACCCTGATAAACCCCGCCCTCGGGAAAAGGCAGTAAAGGGGGTGTGGCCATGCTGCACTGCTTTTGAGAAGAGGAAGAGAAAACTAAAGGTGCATGTAAAAATCTATTCATATATGAATTGTGATTCTGTCTTCTAACAATTCTAATGGATTCACAAGATCCAAAATCAATGTTCTAAAGCAACGGTTCTCAATACTGTTCCTCGCGTCCCCTGCTCTGCACATGCTCTGCATCTCTCTCTCTCTCTCTCTCGCTCTCTGTCTCTCTCTCTCTCTCATTCAGCTCAGCTCCAACAATGAGCTGTTCCAATTATACACTTATTTTCACATAGCCATGAGAAGCGTTAGACATGG